CCACAATCACTTTTAATAATACTATGAATAACTTTTGTGTCAGTACTGTTAAATTGCATGATTTGTAACTTTTTGTATTATATACTTAATTTTTCATTCCTCTTTTGAAATTTTACTTATACGAATATTTTATATACTTTTATATTCCATTATTTTTAATATTCATTCCATATATACTCTGTAATAATAGCATTTCCTGTAACTGGGTACTCCTGTTGGAAATAATTTTTTTTGTCTCTGCAAGTCGCCGTCGATGGATATCTCTCGAATACTTTCACTATCAACGCTGGTGTTCCTCAGGGATCCATATTGTCTCCAACTCTCTTTTTATCGTATATCAACCACTAATTTAAAAAACCCTGAATCCAATATATTGCTTGTCACTTGTCTTGTTATTCCATTTGGATTCCAGGACATCGGCTACGGAGCTACGCTTTTGATGCTTAATGTAGCTCAGATCAGACCTTCTTTGGAGTATTGTTCTCCTGTATGGAGCTTTGCCCCCAAACATACCCTGAAGTTGCTGGATTCCATCCAGAAAAGAACCATCCGCCTGATTGGAGACGCGAACATCACTTGCAACCTTGATAGCCTGGAACATCGAAGAGAGGTTGGAGATTTGTCTCTCTTCTATAGATTATTTCACGGGTGGTGTTCAAGTGACTTGGCACATTTGATTCCACCAAGAGCGGTACATATAAGAAATATGCGACGGACACTGCTCATCATTATGAGTTTCAACTCAGTACACCTCGAAATCCACTGTTTAAGAATCTTTGATCTGGAGAACTGCGTTTGTTTTGAATAAACTTCCTGAGAACATTTTTCCGAATGGAGCTAATCTACAGCGACTCAAATCCAATGTGAATCGCTACTTTTGCACAGACACCGTTCTAAGAATGCCTTAAAGATTTTTCTGTAGTGATTGTGTTTTGTCCTTAAAAAAATCTGTCCGTTTGAAGTTAGTCAAAATCGAGTCCAAAGGAGAACACTCTTGATGCTGCATTATGTCAATAGATGAAGGCTGAAAGTATATATGCTGTACATGCTGGCAGCTGTATTGAGGTCTCAGGCGTCTCGCGGCAGGCCCTGCACGTGGTGTCAGGAACCTCTATACCTATCATGTGACTAAGTAGACTGAGGTATTACAGACAACATCCTGGCATAATAGATTTCCATATACTATCAACACCTATAGGATCTGGTCACAATTTGGTTTTTGGTAAACCTTACAAATATTTATAGAATTATTATTGTTTTGGGTATATATCATGAATTTGACTCGACAGTCCGTGATATAATAGCGGAGCAAGGATTATGTGTAAAACGAAACCGAACCGAAATATGCTGTATTGATTTCGAAAACCCAATTAATTTCCACAATGAACGACCCTCAGTTACCCCGTGAGCCCCACTCCACTGCATATACATTTCGAAATACACCATCCATACGCAATTTCCGAACCGGAAAAGCGAAAGACCGCAGATGTTACGTCCTCTTTTCATTACAGAATTCCCGGGGGGCGGCGGCCGAGCCGAATTCAAAAATATAAAACGACGATTAGCATTTCAGTGAATAATTCAATATAAGTTTAAACTCATAATACTCCGAGGATAATTACAAGCTATTAAAAGGCCATACCGAGAACGACGAGAACCATCGATTTTTCCGTTGGAATAGTTCCAGCGGATTCGTTATTTGCTTTCCGTGGATGTCTGTTTTAGTATCTTTTTAATTGCCGACTCGTCTGGCATCGAAGCAACGTTGTTTCAGTTTATTCGGTAGTTCGAGTCTCGATTCATCTCCAATTTGCTGGCCATCTTTGTCATGTTATTCATTGGCTGTTTTCCAAGTCGAGTGGTTCCACTGGGTATCGAATACACACACTTTCCTTTGAAACTCGGGACGCTCTAAGAGCGATGCCTATGCGTAAGTGGCGATTTACATTAGAGTCGCTGGGGAATAAACTCAGTTAGAGAAACGTTCTCAGGAAGTTTATTCCACATAAGGTTAGGTTAAGTCAAAAGTGCAACTCGCAAGGAGTTATTGTGGCTCACACCTATTCACACTTGACCAAATAGATAGATAGACAGATAGATATATAGTTCCTTATTTCCAACAGGTGTAAGTACACCAAATAACAGGAAATGTATAAACTAGTTAAATGTATATATAAAAAAATGTTTTAAATATGATAGAAATGTACATTCACATGTGTGTGTTAGTAGGATTAGATACTACGAAAGAGAGAAGGTCACGCATTTGAGTCAAACGATTCAAGATTGTATTATTGATATTGTATGTATCCATGCATTTTCTTTCTTCGAGAAGATAACAGTTGAACATTTATTGATATTTAACTCAAGGTAGTTTTTTGTACACCAAACATGTACTGTGTTGATATCATGCTGTAATGAAATGCAATCTTGAGTTGTGAAGATACTTTGATAAATTTTCAAGTCATCAGCATATTATAGAGTGGAGCATTGAAGATCCAGTGTGGATTCATTAATAAACAGGAAGAATAAAAGAGACCCAAGATTAGAATCCTGTGGTACTCCTGAAGTTAGTGTTATTATGGAAGAGCGATATTCTTGGAATTCAACATATTGCCGCCTATCGAAGAGATATGACTCACACGAAGACAATAGTTTAGAAGAGAATCCTAAAATACCAAGCTTTCGCAGCAAAATTTTCAGGTCAATTATATCGAAGGCTTTTTGTATATCCATATAAACAACATCTACTTGACCTTTCTGGTCCAAAATTTCGCAGACATATTGATTTATACAAGAGAGGTTTGTCACACAGGACTTTTTGATAACAAAACCATGTTGTTCAATAGATAACATACCCTTTGTTGGATTGTTTATGTCTATAGAGAATAATTTTACATAACACAGAATTTGGTCTATAATATTTAATTTGTGTCGAATCGCCTTTTTTGAGTATTGGTGAAATCCTTGCAAGTTTCCACGGGTTAGGAAATGTGTTTGTTTCGGTCATTAAATTGAAAATATTTACCAAAGGTTGTGACAATGGGATAATACAATCCTTAACTAGGAAACTCAGTATTTGATCTGGACCCACGATCAATACATTCTTGAACTGTTTGGATGACTGAATAACATGATTTCCTGTAATGCTATTTAAACTGATGGTGGGCAAATTGGCATATTTTTCCGGTAAACGATCAGCTCAATCGGAATCAGGCAAGAAGTGGAGAAATATTTCCCAGAAGCGTTAACAACATTTTGCGTGACGGTTAGTATATAGTCACCATCCTTACGCCAGGGATTCTGCTGGTTTCTTTCTATTACGTATAAAATTCCAAAACTGATTCAGATCGTTACTTATATTATTTTCAGCCTCTGAGATAAATTTACGATAGTATTTGTGTACACTTTTTTTGACCTCGGATCTGAAATAATTAAATTGAGATAGATAAAAACTTGTTTTATGTTTTCTGTAATTTTTACGAGCACATTCATTGCATTTTATTTGCTTTATCGTATCATTTGTAAACCATGGTAGGTATTTACGCGAATTGAATATTTTATGAGGAACAGATTTTTCAAAAATACTAAAAAGTTCCTTTCTAACTGGTTAACAGCGCTATTGACATCGATACACTCCAACACGTAATTCCATGATGTTTGCGAAAATAATTGATTCATGAGTACATTAGTAATTACATGCCCTGAATGTGAAATCAATCTCATTTATTCAGCACACTTGTACATACAATTTTAAAATGAAAGGATATCCCATTCCAACGAATCCGCCTCTGGTTGTTTGACTGGAGCTGAAATAAAAATGTGTTAATTAATTTAAGTAGAGGAAATATTTGATATGATTTCATGGTGAATCGAACAATTCACTGTTAACGACCACATACATAAATGATGAGGCAGTACTCACCTTATTTCAGTAGTAGCAGAATAAGCACTGAACGTAAACATTGTTTCGATCAGTTGATTCGAGTCGGACATCTAGCTAGCTTCGTCGAAATCTAGTTGATAGTATTTTATAGGTCACGAGAGTCTGTAGTTCCTTGAGTAGCCGTAACTCGAAGAAAACTTATTATATTATATAGTATATTACATATTTGTACATAGGATAATCTTAGTAACGAGTATTTAGCAAGTTTGGACAGGAATATACGTAATGTTCGGATGTTTAGGTTTGTTTTGGAACTATTATTTAAAACATGCGTGGGCCATCTATGTGTAGAAGTGATAGGTAGGGATTTGTCATTTTTAATTAGGTCGAAAGGTGTTCTCTCCCGTTCGGAACGTGTCCTTGTGAAAGTAACCACTGGTTGAATTCGAAGTGTTTAATGATTTTTCAATCATCCTCAGTTGGGATAATTTCGAAATTCACCATTAAAGAGTTCTGTAGACTGTATAGTGCATTGGATGGGTTGGTTATTTTGAATACAATTCAGAACTGATCTCGTAAGAGGATTTTTAGTGGTATTTTTTTTGTACGACGACTGAGTTCAACGTGTACATGAACCTGTAAAGCTGTTACCATCTTGTGTGATACGCGGCAATTCTCTACAGTTCACGGAAGTGATAAAACCCTTAGCAAGGGTAAGTTAACCTTTGTATATATGTATTTATTGAGATTTGTGTAACATTTCTGTTTCAATAAAGAGACTACTGTAGGGCAGATTTACCTGATCCTCCACCTCAGCTTGTTCTTTGTGGTTTAGCTGTGGTGAAATTGCAGTCTTTCGTCTTTAGAAATTAATTGTCGTTGTTTTTCTTCTTGTTTGTTCTGTGAACCGACAGAAATGTGTTAGAATCCAGTTCTGTTGGGAATTTAAATACCCATATAAGGTTTTAAGGCATACTTCTTTTTTTAAGGTTTTTTTTGGGTAATTTTTATTTTCGCACCTGCTACGCTGGATTCCAAGCATTGGAAGCACCTAACCTAGAGGCAGAATTCCACACATCAACTGTGTGATCCATCACAACAGGCACCATCACCGGTGTGATTTTCCACAGTGACCCGGAGCATACTATAGGGTGTCCCGAGTTCTGAGGACTTTGAAACTGGTTTTCAATGACATGGGAGAGACGCAAGATAGGATTTCATTTATCTTAAATATCTATAGAAAGCTATTATGCTTATGTATCCGCTTCATTGCAAAGGTGGTGAAATTTAATACAAACTATTTTATGCTTGATTATGATACTGTGCGCCTACGCTTGAGCTCTCGCGACGCCGCCCTCACTATGTTGCATGCATTTTAATTCCGGCCCTGATATTTTTCGACACGATTCATGCTCGTCGTCAGTAGGTAGTGACAGATTGAGTTGACGCTTACCAGGTTTGCTTGTGCTTTTATTCATTAGTGTTCGCATTGCTTGGAACGTTAGATTCATCGTTGTATAAATGTATATATGTTTAGCTAAAATTTTGCTTCGTTTATGGAAATTGGTGTTGATGCTGTGAGATATAGTTTATGGAGTATCATGGTATCACGACTGTGTATATAATTTGGATACTTGTGATCAGAGTTGCACATTGCTTTCTTATATTGCTATAAATTGCTACTGCTATAGCTACCGTCACTCACGCTTAATTATTATAGGAATTTTTCAGAAGGAGTCATCAAACCATCCAGTTGACTTTTAAACTGGTTTATGTTGAATAGTTCATTAATTTGCATATGTCGTTGATGAAGTACACCGGTTCTGAATAAATCTATTTTATGAACCCGTTGTTTCCATGTCCTTCGGTGAATTAGGGATAAAGGCACATAACTAAGGGTATTTGTGGGTAAATTTACCTGGCGCCCATTATTATTTCTTATTAAACATGTATTGTATTAACATGTTTTCAACGAACCACTCCCGTCTTCACTGAGTGTAGCCGCAAATACCCACTTGACACTTGTTGTTGGTCAAGTGCAATGCGTCTTTGGTAGATCTGAAGGGCGCATTTTTGGCGCCCAACGTGGGGCCTGGCCTGAATAGACCAGTAGAAAAAAAAATAATAATAATACAAGTTTATAAAAAAAAATTATAAAATAATTTTTTTGAACTATTCATATTTCTGTCTTCATCAAGATGGCATGTAGAATGCAAATTATTAGGTTAGCTTAGGATGAACTTGAGTATGAGCTCAGGGTCAGAGGCATTGCGATTGGAACAGTTGAAGAAATGAGACACTCCTTGTCGATGGCAATTCGTCTCGAACAGTCCGGAGATTCTGTAAAGTACCCTGCATATCCGTTCACGGTCGAAGAAGATGAAAAAGCGGTAGAAGGCAAATTAGCAGCTCGAGTTCCATTGGTAGACGACTACATGCTCGACCTGTCGGGGAATCTATTCAACAAGTTGCAGTCGAAGCTTGCGCATGTGCTGAATCGCATCGATCACATGGATGAAGAAAAGTCACAAAAGCGTCCACATCTGCGCGCTAAAGCACTTGCTGTTATGAATAACCTTCATCAGAAAGTACAAGATAAAAGAAATTCAGAAGTTCCACCTCAACTTAGTTTCATGGAACAAAGCTTGGCATTCAATCCCTCCCGGAGATCTTCGAGTCCTCCACCGCCTAATCCGATTGGGTCCCCTAGTACCTCAAGTCAAGTTAAGCCAATATTGCCAATAAAGTGGGATATCAAGTTTTCAGGTGATAGGAAAGGTCCTTCACTGAGTTCTTTTCTCGAAAGAGGTGAAGAGCTTAGACAGGCCAGACATGTGTCCAAAGCCACTCTATTAGAATCTGAAATAGATTTATTTACAGGAAGGGCATATCAATTTTATGTCGCTTATCGTAATGAAGTAAACTTGTGGGATGAATTTGAAAATTTATTGATAGAAGAGTATTTGTCTACGGGGTATAATGAAAAATTATTTGATGAAATCAGAAAGCGCACCCAAGGACCAGATGAGTCCATCGGTATTTATTCAGCTGTTATGACGGGATATTTTAATAGGTTGACTTGTCCAGTTTTCGAGAAACCTAAGTTGGAAATTCTTATGAAAAATATTTCTCCATTTTATCAAAATCAGTTAGCTGTGGTAGATATGAATTCATCTTAGAGAATTAGGTAGGCAATTAGAGGCGAAGAAGGAATAGGTCGAAAATTATGCAGTACCTACCCGTAGAAGTGCAGTCTTGGAACCTGATTTAGCCTATGTGAGGTGTCTTCTGTTGATAGCCTTCAAACCTCTTCGTCTGATCAACATAGTAAATCTAAAGGGTTGGCACACACTACTCTATGCTTTCGTTGTAACAAGCCGGGACACAAGGCTATTGGATGTTTAGAAAAGAGAGATAAATTTTGTTACATGTGCAAAAAGGAAGGGTTCACGGTTAGGACTTGTCCTGTTTGTTCAAGGCAGGGAAACGGCCCACGACACTCCTAGGTGACCGGAAGGAGGGTGTCGGAAAAAATTGTACGCTCGATCGAATTCAGATCCTTCTAGATTTTGTTTTAGATCATGTTGATAATGATGAGAGGCCATATTTACGTGTTGAAATTTTGGGAAAATAAATTCTAGGTCTTTTGGACACCGGTGCTTCTCGTACTGTACTGGGAAATAAGGGTTTAGGTATAATTAAGGAGTTAGGTCATACTTTGGATAGTAGTAGGTCTACGTTTTGTTCGGTTGCGAATGGTAGTCGTAAAATTGTTGGTTACGATTGATGGACGTAGCGGTTTTTCCAGAATTGCTCCACACTTTGATTTTAGATGCGGACTTTTGGAAGTTAATGGGTGTAGTACCGGATCTTCGCTATGATGAGTGGTATTTCTCTAAGGAACTGATACTTAATAATGAAGTTGAACAGGTGGAAGGTCAGACTCTCTTAACTTCTTTGGAAAGAAGTCGTTTGGAAGCTGTGATTGACCGTAATATCGCTCTGATGGGAAAGGAGCTGGGTTGTACCAACAGAGCCGAACAGGTTATAGTTACCAATAGTGAGCCTATCAAGCAGCGTTATTACAGGGTTAATCCCGTCGTACAAGTCCAGATAGATAAGGAAGTTGATGAGATGCTTATACTGGGAATAGTCGAACCGTCTAACAGTCCCTGGTCTTTTCCGATACTTCTCGTGAAAAAGAAAGACGGAAGTTTTCGATTTTGTGTAGACTATAGGAAATTTAATTCAGTCACTGTTCGGGATAGTTACCCCTTACCTTTTGTCTCGGATACCCTTGATAAACTGAGAGATGCGAAATATTTATCTAGTTTAGATGTCAAATCAGCGTATTGGCAGATCCCGGTAGCGGAAAGTTCGTGTCCTTACACGGCATTTACTGTACCAAACAGAATGTTGTACTAATTTCAGAGGTTACCGTTCAATTTGCACAACGCTCCGGCAACGTGGCAACGATTAATTGACAACGTTTTAGCGATATGTATTTGTTTACCTGGACGATATTGTCACAGTCACGTCAACTTTCGAACAACACTTGAAAGTCTTGGATGAAGTTTTTAGACGTTTAAGGAAAGCCAACATAACTGTAAATGTTAACAAGTGTCAGTTTTGTCGCCCGGAAATGAGATACCTTAGTTACATCGTAGACCGGAATGGACTCCATGTCGACCCGGAGAAAGTTCGAGCTATGCTTGATCTTCCCCCTCCAACTAATGTCACGGAAGTTCGTCATATAGTGGGGACATTTTCTTGGTATAGGCAATTTATAAAGAATTTAGTTATAGTTCTGATTACAGCATTGCTACGGAAGAATTTCAAGTTTGAATGGACTAGCGAATGTGATGATTCATTTCGGCGAATTAAAGAAAATCTGGTGTCAGCAGCGATTCTTAGCTGCCCCGATTACTCAAAGCCATTTGTGGTTCAAACAGATGCTTCCGGCTATGGTATCGGAGCGGTTTTAATGCAGCCTCATGAGACAGGGGATGACGTTATATGTTATTTGAGCCGATCTCTGACGCGTGCAGAGAGGAATTATACTACTACGGAACGTGAGTGCATTGCCGTTCTTTGGGCAATCGAGAAACTGAGGCCATATTTGGAATCGGTTGAGTTCACCGTTGTTACTGACCATTATAGTTTTCTCTGGCTCCAGAGCCTTAAAGATTCAACTGGTCGTGTGGCGCGCTGGGCAGTGAGACTACAGCAGTACAGTTTCAAAGTGATTCATCGGAAGGGAAAGGATAACGTAGTCCCCGATGCACTTTCTCGGTCGGTTCCCGTTGTAGACTTAATTGAGAGTGCTGAGGGTCCGTCAGTGTGTGAAGATACCGAGGATGATAGATAGTATAGATCTATGAGAGAAAGAATCCAAAGGAATCCCTTGAAATTTGGTTGTTGGAGAGAATCAAATGGCAAGTTATGGAAGCATGTACGTGCCGATTATCCCAGATTGTCGCCTCATAGTGACTCCTGGAAAATCGTTGTACCCAAACGTGACCGATACAATATTATGGTTGCTGCTCATGAACCACCTACTTCAGGGCATACCGGTATTTTCAAGACCTACGCCAGAATTGCCGATAAATATAATTGACCCAAGATGAGAAGTGATGTGGCTCGATTTATACGTCGTTGTAATATTTGCGCTGCTCATAAAGTTTCTCAGGATGGCCCGGTAGATAAAATGGAGTCGCATCCTAAAGTTTCTAGACCATGGGAAATGATTTCTACGGACATAATGGGTCCGCTGCCACGTTCAAAATGAGGAAATTTTTTTATATGGGTGGTTACTGATTATCTCACTAAGTTTCCAGTCGTCTTTCCTCTCAGAAAGATTACTTCCACTGTCATAATTAATAAATTGGAAAGTGACTTGATTTTATTGTTTGGAGTGCCTAGGATGATTATTTGTGATAATGGACTTCAATATTGTAGTAAAGAGTTCAAGAAATTCGCTGATAAATACCAAAGCCTCATTGAATTCAGTGCTAATTACCACCCTAGGGCAAATCCCACAGAAAGGGTAAATATAACCCTGAAAACAATGCTTTCTATGTATATTTCAGATAATCATCGTTGTTGGGATGTAAATCTCGACAAGATTGCTTGTGCAATTCGCACCTCCAAGCACGAAGTCACTAAAGTACCCCATACTTGGCAAATTTCGGCCGGAATATGGCGTTGTCTGGTGCAGATTATGTCAAGGGAAAAGTTGTTGATCCGGAAGATGAATATCGTATTGATGATAGTCATAGGAATGAAGCCCTCAAGGAAATATTCAAGGATGTTTGTCGGCGTCTAGAACTTGCTGGAAATAGGAATTGTGAGTGATATAATCTTCGTCGTCGACATGTGAAGTACCTACCTAATGCCGTAGTAAGGAAGATGAATTACGTATCATCGGATGCCTCCAAATATTTTTCCTCCAAGTTAGCTCCTCGTTATGTTGGTCCGTATTACATTGAGAAGCGTGTCTCTTCGTGGATGTACGAATTGAGAGATGCGGACGGTAACTCGAAGGGAATATGGCATACAAAGGATTTGAAGCCAGTAATTACACGCCCTGTAACTAATCCGCCGATGGTTGTTTGACTGGAGCTGAAAAAAATGTGTTAATTAGTTTAAGTAGAGGAAATATTTGATACGATTTCATGGTGAATCGAACAATTCAATGTTAACGACCACATACATAAATGATGAGGCAGTACTCACCTTATTTCAGTAGTTGCAGAATAAGAGTCATAAGGGTTTTGTTTATTTGTTTTCCTTAATCGAAAATCACTGAACGTAAACATTGTTCCGATCAGCTGATTCCAGTCGGACATCTAGCTAGCTTCTTCGAAATCTAGTTGATAGTATTTTATAGGTCACGAGAGTCTGTAGTTCCTTGAGTAGCCGTAACTCGAAGAAAACTTATTATATTATATAGTAGATTACATATTTGTACATAGGATAATCTTAGTAACGAGTATTTGGAAATTTGGACACGAATATACGTAATGTTCGGATGTTTAGGTTGTTTTTGGAATTATTATTTAAAACATGCGTGAGCCATCTATGTGTAGATGTAGTAGGGATTTGTCATTTTTGATTAGGTCAAAAAGCGTTCACTCCTGTTTGGAACGTGTCCTTGTGAAAATAACCACTGGTTGAATTCGAGGTGTTTAATGATTTTTCAATCATCCTCAGTTGGGATGATCTCGAAATTCACCATTGAAGAGTTCTGTAGACTGTAGAGTGTATTTGATGGGTTGGTTATTTTGAATACAATTCAGAACTGATCTCGTAAGAGGATTTTTAGTATTATTTTTTTTGTACGACGACAGAGTTCAACGTGTATATGATCCTGTAAAGCTGTTACCATCTTGTGTGATACGTGACAATTCTCTACAGTTCACGGAAGTGATAAAACCCCTTAGCAAAGGTAAGTTAACCTTTATATATATGTATTTATTGAGATTTGTGTAACATTTTTGTAGGGCAGATTTACCTGACCCTCCACCTCAGATTGTTCTCTGTGGTTTAGCTGTGGTGAAATTGCAGTCTTTTGTCTTTAGAAATTAATTGTCGTTGTTTCTCTTGTTGTTTAGTGAACCGACAGAAATGTGTTAGAATCCTGTTCTGTTGGGAATTTAAATACCCATATGAGGTTTTAAGGCATACTTCTTTTTTTAGGTTTTTTTTGGGTGATTTTTATTTTCGTACCTGCTACGCTGGATTCCAAGCATTGGAAGCACCTAACCTAGAGGCAGAATCCCACACAACAACTGGGTGATCCATCACAACAGGTACTACCACCGGTGTGATTTTCCACTGAGACCCGGAGCATACTACAGGGTGTCCCCAGTTCTGAGGACTTTCAAGCTGGTACTCAACACCGTGGGAGAGACGCAAGTTTAGATTTCATTCATTTCAAATATCTATAGAACGCTATTATGCTTATTTACCCGCTTCATTTCAAAGGTGGAATTTAATGCAAACTATTTGATACGTTATTATCATACATGTGAAGGGGAAATTTAATGCTACCTATTTTATGCTTGATTATGATACTGTGCGCCTACGCTTGAGCTCTCGCGACGCCGCCCTCACTATGTTGCATGCATTTCAATTTCAGCCCTGATTTTTTTCGACACGATTCATGCTCGTCGTTAGTAGGTAGTGACAGATTGAGTTGCGCTTACCAGGTTTGCTTGTGCTTTTATTCATTAGTGTTCGTATTGCTTGGAACGCTAGATTCATCGTTGTATAAATGTATATATGTATAGCTGAAATTTTGCTTCGTTTATGGAAATTGGTGTTGATGCTGTGAAATATAGTTTATGGTATCATGGTATCACGACTGTATATATAATTTGGATACTTGTGATCAGAGTTGCACATTGCTTTCTTATATTATTATAAATTGCTACTGCTATAGCTACCGTCACTCACGCTTAATTATTATAGGAATTTTTTCAGAAGGAGTCATGAAACCATCCAATTGACTTTTAAACTTGTTTATGTTGAATAGTTCATTAATTTGCATATGTTGTTGATGAAGTACACCGGTTCTGAATAAATCTATTTTATGAACCCGTTGTTTCCATGTCCTTTAGTGAATTAGGAATATAGGCACATAACTAAGGGTATTTGTGGGTAAATTTTCCTGGCGCCCATTATTATTTCATCAATACATGTTTTTAACGAACCACTCCCGTCTTCACTGAGTGTAGCCGCAAATACCCACTCGACACTTGTTGTTGGTCAAGTCCAATGCGTCTTTGGTAGATCTGAAGGCCGCATCATTATTATCAAACAAGGAACATTGAAATCACCTATTACAATCAGATGCGGGTTATGAAAAAATTTAATGAAAGTATATTATCAAGAAAGGTATCAAAATGACATATGTTTATAGATGGAGAAATGTAAACAACAAGTACATAAACGGTGCAAGAGTTAAACAGAATTTTACCACACCACCAACTATATCAATGCCAGGTGTTAATGAAAAAATGTTGCGCAAATCGACTGGTTCAAATTGAAAAGTGTATTTGACAGCAAGTAGAACACCTTCTCCTTTGGTTGTGTTAGTTGCGGAAAAATTTCGGTCTGATCTGAATACGTTGTAGGTCAATGAAAATAGTTCTGCACTGAATATCCTATTGGAGAGCCGTGTTTCACTAAGTGAAATTATATCTAATTCATTTCGTGCTAACAGTGAATTGGAAAACTGGGTAGTTTTGGTATTCAAACCATTTACATTTTGATAATAACAATTAATGAAGATATTATTGGGTGTACTGCTTAAAAATTCATAATTTTGGGTATCCCGTTGATATGCTTTATTTTCAAATTGGACTCCCCTTTATTACGACGTTCTTCCAACTCGACCTTCAAGTTATTGAAATAATCTATTTGTCTGGGAGTTCGGTCTGAGGATACTGAAATATTTTCAAAATCAGATTTCTTCAAGGTGATAGATTTTTTGAGTATTTCCAGAACCTGATCACTATTTCCCAAGGTGACTTCAAGCGGTCTGGGTCGTGGTCTATCCTTATCAAATTTTCCCAAACGCCTGATATTTGTGATCAACATTGACTGAGGAGAAAGGGATGTTAATATTTTCAGGGCATCCGTATTTTCTGCACTTATACGTTCCTCCTTTGTTGTTTGCTGTTGTTCCTCTAATACAAATATCATGATATTATTTTTACAATTTTGCCTTTCAGTAAGTTCTTGTACGATCTCTTCAAAGTCACTTTCAGGTGTTGAAGTAGTAGTTTGCGCTGCAGATGTTAATGTTTTAACATCGTTTTGTAGTGCAACAATAGCTGCTTTGAGAAAAATTATGTCGTTACCAAGTTGTTCGCAATCATCGCAACTCCAAATAACTGAATTTTTCCCTTTGATTAGATATGTTTCTGAGGAAGTCAGTCCTTTGCAAGCATGATAATAACTTTTTGTGCAGACGCAGCAATTGAGCAATGAATGTTGGTCGTATAATTTATTGCAGCATGAACATTTATTTCGCGTCATTCCTATAAGTTGATAGCAGAGTCTCCTGCAAACTGTCTACGGAGAAACAAGCCCCCGGCCTGGACACCGGCGTGAATAAAGGGGGCCCCTTATTCTTCACTTTTGAAAAGACTCTCATCTTCTTTGTGGGCGGACGTTATCAGCATATCCGTCCACTGCCACGGCCACCTCAAAACTTCACAAAACAAGTTGACAAGGTGGATATGACAAAGAAAAAAATTTTTCTACTCCCATTTTGAACTAATCGTCACTTATTTGACAGCAGTTAGGTAATGGCCCATTCAGAATATACGTGTATTCTGGATTAATGGCGACTACTTTGGTGAAAATTTTAAAAAAATGTTGAGATATGTAACAATTACTATGATAAATATGATTTCATGAATACCTTCAATTATCCAAAAGCCATCAATACATTTTCTCTCCTAATTATCTGTAAAATCGAAATAAATAATATTTTTATTTTTATAAATAAATCATATTCTCAGTAAATTTATTGTTCAACAGTTTGTGGGTTGGTAATGAATCTATTCATATCCGTGAATCAACAACCACTTATTTAAATTATGAGCTGTCATTCAATATCTCGTAAAAATTCATCAAGAAATTCGTGCTACTCTAACAGACATTACCAAGCAACCAAATATTGCGATGAATAATTTGATGCCAGAAAAATCAATAGAAAAATGCGAATATAATTTTGAAAATTTTATGAGTTGAAGAGAAAATAAAATCATAATTTCGTTTTCCGAAAACCTTCTTCTCGTTTATTTCGTTTTATTTATTTAGATTTAGCAAAAACTTTCAACAATATTCAACCCTAATAAAATAATGTGTAGGAGATATTGTCACCAATTTTTAAATAATTTAATTGAGTTCTGACTGATTGACTGAATGAGTTTATTATCCAAAGCCATGATCTCACACAAATATATTGTACATTCCTTTCTACGGTCAGTCGTAGAAAAAGTATAGTGCGCACCTTGAGGATAAGGCCAATTACATTCACTTGCGAATTATCGCACTCTCACGCAAAGGAACACACCGTGTAGAAGTAAATCGAAACAATGGTAAAACTACATGAGTTGAACTTCGAATTGCCCCCACATCCACCGTATTCGCCAGATTTGGCTACTGGCGACTTCTGGCTGTTCGCAGACCTCGAAAAATGCTCACCGATAAGAAATTTTGCTCGAATGAAGAGGTTGTTGCTGAAACTGATGCCTATTCTGAGGCAAAAGATAAATTGTTCTAGAAAAGTGGTATTGAAATGTTAGAGCGGGGCTAAAATCATTGTGTGCCTCTTGATGGAGATTACGTTGATGAAATAAGCCAATTTTTCCCATAAAAAACGCATTTTCTTTCTAAGGCTCGGAACTTTTCAGCACATGTTATATAATGTGAGTGTATTCTTCGTTGATAGCCTATTTGAATATTATTTTGTAAAGGATATGATGAATCTTGTTGGGGTTGAGATTATTATTCACTACAATCTGTTCCATCCAATTTAGTTAGTTATCAACATTATCTGAGGACATATGGATAATGATGAGTATGTGGATCATACTATGATAATCTGCTAACTTATGTTGATAAACTTGGTTGGAATGGTTAGTAGTTATGTCTGCATGGATTTGTTTGTGGTAGATTTCGAAATCATATGTCTTGTTGAAGTTTGTACAAAAATTTATAGTATGAATCAATGGAGAATTCTACAGAGGAGCACAACTGAATGTTAACCATTTGCGACTATTGACTTTGGGTTCATTTAAAATTCCTAAAATTGATCGGTATTAACCACCTAGTAATTGCATTAGGTGGTTCGTATAAAATGCATTATGAAATAGTTTAAAATAGCAGTTCAATTCAAGGAGCTACTGCTCAGTGAAACGTGTCTTGAATGAAGTTTATAGTGTGAAAATTTTTAATTTATTATCATGGATATTGTTATTGAGTTGAGTGTATTCAAAATTTCTATTTGATTTTCATAAAATAATTTTAATCATGTAAGTAGAAAGTATGGATTTCGACATACTTGAAATTTGAAAGTGACAAAAATTAACTGTGAATAAGACAACTTGATGTACCAAAAACTGGATGCAAGAGGGTATTAGGGTTACTTACATTCAGTAATACATATTTATTGATTGAATGGAAAATACCAGTAACATAATGTATGATTGTATCGATTCAGAAATCAATATCGAAGTGGTACTCACGATTTGAGATTTTTGAAGAATTGTCTATTCCAAACTTCCCTCGCCATTGACCTTGCGATAACTTTTGCTGGAGTATCAAATTCAAAATAGATCCAGTCATAATCACTTCTCCAGTCAGCATTCAGCTCTACGTCAAATATCTTTTTTGGATCTTTTTGTGATCTGAAATTGAAAAAAAAGCATTCTCAAAACTAATCAATACAGTTCATTGCATGATTTTTACTATAAAGGGTTTTACAAAAACCGCGACACGTGTTTCGCTATACAATACTTTCTCAACGCTTTCTCAACGTGTCGCGGTTTTCGTAAAACCCTTTGCAATGAAAATCATACAATAAACTGTATTGATTAGTTTTCATGTGGATTCGTAACTTATACTTAATTGAATTCATTTTTCTTGTAATAATAACATTAAAATGTATCTTTCTTAATGATTTTTATTTTATTATTTTTTCGCGTTTCTAATAGGCTTCTGCATTGGTGTATAGAAGCATTTTAAATACAATGAATAATATTTACAGACGTATTTACACCAAACGGACTCGCTTGCGACTAGTTTCATTTTCAGAAACAGAAATAAAAAACTTGTTTCAGTTTCGAAAATGAATACGAAACTCGAATTTCACCAAACAGACAAAAATCAGTCTGAGTTGCGTGTTTTGTTGTGAAATGTTTTCTATCGTTCCCACTACGTCGTTTTTCAATTTTCTAAGAATATTCAATGACGAATTAGATAACTTGTTGAATGTACTGGCACCAAATATTTTCAAAAAGAATACAACTCACAGATATGTCATATCTGGATAGTTGCTTGTTGTTGACGTCGACCGTTTCCGTATAGGGAACTGTTCACAAAAACACAGACAAAAACACGGAAACCTTGTGATCTTTCCGCAACAGGACATTTCGTTGTTGACAAAAACAGTCGCCCGCGACACAAAGTCTTCAGAACGTTTCTTTTGACTAGTCAAGTTTTTGTTTTGTCAAAATCGACACAGTGGTTTTATCCGTTAGGTGGAAATTCGCCTTCATATACTCGCCTCATTTTTCCACTGAAAGATATTTTCCATTTTTTCATCGGTTTCACAGGAGTAATAGTGAGACCTCCTCCAGCATATCGGTCCAGGTGAAAAAGAGATGAAGGTTCTGCATCCAGAGTAGTTTTGGGTAGATGAACACTCTCCAAAATGCCGTAATCGGGTAGCTGAAAATGTAGAAAATGGATAATTACAAAAAAGTACTTAAATGAGTTCCATTATATACTTTGAAGAAACGATACAGCATTTGTACAATATCCAACTATCTGAAAAAGTATCCCTTAATGAATGTCAACCCCAGGCTCGCTTATTTCAAAACTTTGTAGGTTGAGAATTATTTGTGTTTCTTCAGTTTGGATACGTTAAGCAAAAATATTTCTTTCCGTAAGAGCTATTTGACTGGGCAAATCAAAAAATTTCAGTAAACAGTGAAAATACAATAACAGGAGAAGGGTAGTTCCGTGAGTCAGGATGGGATTGATTAAAAATAGACAAATTTTTGTTAAGTAATAGGGGTGAGTAATATAAGGTAATTTAAAAAATGAAGAATTGTTTTGTGACAGAAAGTGTATCCAGAAGGAGATGAATTATCCTCATAATTTCGAACTTAACCCTTTGTGGCTAAGTGGTTCCACTTTGGGACCACCAATTTATAAATTTATCCCTACCGGCGGAGTGATCGAGCGCTGGAACCACCTGGTTCAAAGCGATGCTTACATCGTATATTTCATCGGCTGAACATTTTGCAGAATTGAAGTGGGGATTCAGAATTGGTAAACAACAGATATTTGGCGCGTTTGCTGATGTGCAAGTGTAACGTTTTTCAATGCGAATTATGCAAACTGCCTGAGGTTATTATAAGGTATGTAAAATTTTTATTTGTTCATAAATAAGTACTCCTTTGTGTTGCCTAATGCATTGTTGTGAAATATGTGAATAACTGAGTTATATTTGGTATTTTGATTGGTGGTTCCGTTTGGTGCCACTACGCCGATAGATGGGTAATGATGATTATTTTTTGCAGGTTCTCAAGATGAATAGAAATTTCGATTTGAGTGGAATAACTAGTGATGATGCTTACAATTTGCTGGAGAATATTCCATCGGAGGGATCTGATGTTTCAGAGTATGGGGATTTAGATATTGAGATGGACATGGTACTCGATTCAGATGAAGTAGACCATATTTTAGAAGATCAGGACGATATTTTTGATGGCCAAGAAGATATTCGTGATGAAAATGATGATTTTCACAGTGAAGATGATTTACCCCTCATATATGCCCATGAAACCCATAAAGAGAGGGTACAAAGTATGAGTATGTGCTGAACAGTCAGGCTACGTCTGCCAATTTCATCTATACTATCATCTATACAATCTATACTGGAAAAGTCAATGATTTGAGGGAGCAGAATCTTGGAACGAGAATTATAAATGACCTCACGAGAGATTTGGTCGGAAACAATTATTAAGTTTATTTTGTTGATTATTTTAATTCTGTAGAATTACAATGTGACTTGCTCCAAGACAAGATCTACGCATGTGGAACAGCTAGAAAAGACAGAAAAGGTATTCCGGGTGATCTCAAAACGAAGAAAAAAATTAATAGAGGTGATTCAAATTGGAGAATGAGTAAACTGTGAAAAGGAAACAAAAAGATGGAACGACCACAGAAGTGAAGTATGAAAAATTAGTGAAAGATTGGTTTGATTGGAGCTGACCCAAAAATGCCGCAATTAGGGAGAAGAAGCACGAATAAGCCAAGTATACCAGCAACAAGTTCAAAGTACGAGTTCCTATAGAAATAAGAACTGATAAAGCTGCTCATATGCCTAAGCATGGAACTGAAGTACGTTGTTCACATTGCAGTACCAAAGCAGTACCTTATCGCACAAAATGGCACTGTACTGCATGTAATGTAGGTATGTCTTTCTGAAGGGAGGAACTGTTTCATTCCATTTCATGTTATTTAACAATTTGTTTGTGGCCTAGTGGTTCCATAGGATAACCACCTGTTTTTTCGAAAAATATTCAAAATATAACAAAATTTCATCAGTTTTCTTTTTTTCTTGTCCCGATATACCCTTAAGATTATTCAATTTCGGAATAATTCGAAAAAAAATAATTCCGTCCACAAAGGGTTAACCATTGTGTAAAAATTGTGGAGTACGTCATGGTAGCCGCGTGTTTTATTTTCTGATGAAAATATGTTTAATGGATTAGATAATGATCATGATGCACATCCGGTATGTAAGATGGTAGACGTATTCCTTTATTAACGTGCGTGCGAACTGTACTAAAAATAAAATCAGAGGTGAAAAAAATATAAAATGATGAGAATATAATATTTTCAACTCCTAATAAAAAGAGATTTATCTGAAATTGTGAAGAATGGTGCTGGTTTGTCCATTTTACGCAAATGTATAAATAATTGTCATATCGAAGAGAAACGAGTTTCTATGCTTAGAGAAATTTATATAACTATCATTCGAGATGTTGACTATCATGGTAGCAGGGAGTTGGTGCGGGAATAAATTCATAAACTGAATTTCGACGAAGGAATATGAAAAATTACGGAAAAATATTGATGGAATGCCAGCCTATTCGACTTCATCGGATAGAAATCTTGAAGAAAACGCGGACTTATAAAGAAGAACGTCAACCTATCAATCATATGGATGAAGCATATATTCTTGCTATACTTACGCACCAAAAAGGTTGAAGTAGGCGAGAAATTATATTATGATATTTAGGCAACCAATCTACGTAAATATTATATGAATTGTATCTATGTGTATAGTAGAATATTATTTTAATTTTGCTTGCAATGCATTGTAGATGATATCAGCTGCGTTTCATAATAATTACTATCAACTATACACCCAATTAGCTATCAATTAATAATTGTAATTTTATCCACTTTCTCTTGATTCATTTATCTCTAATGAGAATGTACGTATGTATTTTTTGCAATTATATATAACTCATTATCTGTATTATTTGCAATTATATATAACTCATTATCTTTCAGTTATTTCCCACTTGCCGAATTTGCTCAAGCCATAATTATTCTCTCCTCTTTCCTCCATCAATGAAGATTGACAGTGTACAGTTAACATTTCTCTTTATCGTTCGCGCATCTCAGAGGCACAGTTAGATTGGCCAAGCTGTATACTCATATGCATTTTTGCACTCCAAAGAAATGAATGAATATCAATTTCTCAAAGTTTAAGATACACTCGACAGATCAATTGGTTTTCGAAAAAAAATACAAATTTGTTGAATTCTCACTCATCCAAATTATTGTTCGAACGAATGAGTATCTATACCTCAGTATCAATGTGATTTTCTAAGTATCTGATAGTGTAGTCAATTGTCGTTATAATCTTTATGCATTGTTGAATCACAGTGGGAGCACTCAGAGTGTACATTATACAGCAAACTGTAGATATCCGTATACCAATACGTGGCAGAAATAACGATTCTCGCGTGTCTCTCATGCCACCAAAATCTGTTGTGAATGAAGAGGCTCATGTTCTTTTCTATGAAGAGAAGGAAACGTAATAACAGCTTTGAAGTGATTTACTTCAGTGATTATTTCACTGTACAAATATGTTTCATATTTACAGGTCACAATTCAGATTCTGTTGTATTTTATGACACTCTTCACTTGTATTTCATCGTGAATATATGTTGTAGTTATATAAAACTCAGATGTGAAATTTTGTGGACATCCTAAAATTTTGATATTACTCTAGTGACTAATATCCATGATTCAAATAAATTGATCAAAGATTATTGTGAATTATCTGAATTAATTATATCAATGTTCTCCTGAAGGGTACCATCAGATATAAATGCGAAAATGTAAGTCACATGTATATTGAACCAACTCGGTAGCTTCGGTAGCTAGACACCATTTTTTTTTACTTTACTATGTTCAGAGATTACGATTATTTCGCATGTTGAAAATTTTATCATTTACCGTATTCTCGTTCTACCGAATAAATCGAGGGGAAATAGTTTAACATCCTGACAGCTCCTATTATGCGATGAACAAAATATCAGTTGCCATTTCTCATTGACTGGCCTAACAAGTTGTTTAATTCTGAATTTTACCGTGTGGAATTTGTTTTTTAGAAATGAATTGATTCATGATGAATATAATATTTCGCTTATTGATTGACTGATGGTCCATTGTCACTTTTATATTTTTGGAGTTTCAGCTACCACCAACAATATTAATGAAAAGTCATTTTTCGTGAAGAAAATCAGAGTTTTTATACCTTTTTGGGGTATTTTCACCGTTCACAATCTGATTTCAATGTTAATTTCAGTAACTAACTCATTAACGTTGTCTCTCAAAAAAGGAGCTAAAAATTGTATAGGAATGTAACTTGATGTTTCGGAGGCTGAAATATGCCTTCGTCTCAGAATTGGAAGAAATCTAATGTAATGCAGTTATTTCTTCAATTTGCTGCATTTTCAGCAGACATGAAAGGCGTTTCTAAAGGTGAAATATGTCAATAATGTTGATAGATTCCTGAAACATTCGGTGTAATACAAGGTGATCTTTTGGTTTGATCTGTTGCAATTTTGATAGTATCCACTCTCAATATCATTCTTCAAAAAAATTGCAGGTTGACCCCCTTCCTGTTGACAGATGAATTTGAAATTTGGTACACACATTCAGTTTCAATGACAATACAATTTAATGAATTCTGTATCATTGCAAAACCCAGATGCTCGCAGCTACAAAATGTCGAATCGCCAATTTCTTCACAACCTCAATATGAGCATCAAATAACAAGGCTTGACTAGTAGAATAGTAGGTCACTTTGAAAAAGATGCAAATTCAATAATCAATACCTACAGAGAACTTTGTCAACTCAGAATCGGGATACAAGTATGGATTTCCCACCAAGTTAACATTGTGTATTGTATCGAGGACTGTGTGGTGTTGAGGTGTGGTGATACGTCGTTAGCAATACACCACCCAAGTTGAGGTAAAAGTGTAAAACATGCCGAGAATTGTGTGGCATTAGGGTGGATAAAAATTTGAAAGTAAAACTTGAAAATGAAATAAATGGAAAAAATGTTTCTTCCCAGCAATCTATGGTATTGATCAGATAAAAAATTTATAAAATCGTTTGGCGTAGTATTTACATATTTACTTAGGTTACGCTACGCCCAGCGATTTCTCAATTTTTTATCTGATTAATACCGTAGATTGCTGAGGAGAGTGATTTTTAGTATATTTCAACATGATTTTTTGATTATTTTTTTAGACTTATGCTTTTCCATTCCTTTCAGATTGTGGAAAATGAAGATAACTAGCAATATTTCTCTATGAGAAACCGTTTAACATGCATCTCGAGCAAGATATGATACATCAGATATACCTATCGATTACTTTACCATTTACTCTAAGAACAAACATCTTTCATCAGACTTCTTACCGTCTCTTCGTCAGATGAAATTATTTTGTACTATATTTCCACGAAATACAAAGATACACTTCCAAATATATTTTATAAATTTCTGAAAACATTTTAAAACAAACTTCAAGCTTCAATATACTTCTCAACTCACCACAAGATATACCAGTCCTACAATTTTAGATTTTTGTCTTCTTTCAATTCCACCACAGAAGTAAATACCATCTCTTGAAACTGCATGGAAAAATACTGCATCAAAAGCCTGAAAACTTATTATTTTTTATCGAATCATTTTCATTTTACCGAGTTGTTACCAATTCATGGTTTGAAAGCATTTGCAGTTTCTCCAACTTTTCCTTTTTCACCAAAACATTTTTTCCGACTATATAATATTTCAATCTTCTCAGTATCAAAAACATCAAAAATATAAAATACTTCAAACGATACCATCTTCCAGGTTGAGTGTACACTTTGAAGATTTTCTTGGGCTGACTTTTCTCACTTTGTTTGATGGAGATTATACCAAAGATGAGAATGGCAAAACCTACTAAGAGATCAAACATGATTCCGTTTCACACGATTAGGTATAGCACACATAAAATTTTCAAGTGAATATTATATTCTACAATCTCGATATGATACGTGTGATTACCTCAATGTTGAGATTGAACGGAACATCTCTGATATCATCCTGATAAGCAAATACAAAGTATTATCGAGGAATTCACTTAATGATATATCACATGTGAATTGTTAGATAATACTAGAAAAATATTCAAATGCTTTATGATGATCTCATTACTACTACTGTTTCTTTCTTGCCCTTATTCGATATATCAATACAAAATTTCACCGATGTGTTGATTATGAGTGTGTCGCGTCTTCGAATACACGAAAAAATAATAAAAAATGAATGCAACTTTGGTTCTACTCAAAACCGTTCGTGTGGGATCTACCATCCGAAATAGCAATAGTGGTATATTGTATAATTTCCGAAATCGTTTTTCAGTCAATATGTATACATTCTTTTATGTACTGGCATTTTTGAGGACACTTGAAATGTTTTATTTTCCGCACATATATTTGGATTGATCATTTGAATTCGAAAGAAATACCGTCTCTTCGATTCAGGTGTTTTTGCCTATTATAAAAATGAGTTTTCTTCACTTCATTCACTTTTTTTAATTTTGACGTACTAATCACTTTCACGAATGCACTCGTGAGATCTCCTATTTCATACGTACATATTCACGAGAAAATTATTTTTGGGGATGTATTATCTCTTATTTTAGCTGTGGAGACTACCCTTCGTTATTAACGAATGTCGAAGATTATATATAGTTTTAATTTTATATTTTCAACTTGTTTAAAATTTCTTGAGTCCAAACCAGTTTTGTTATTATTGAGAAGGAGCTCAGACCAGATAGTAGTTTCAACTGAATTTGTCATTAAGTGTTTTTTATGATGAAAATCCATGACTATGTTGAGAAAACATTGGACTATTTTCTAGTATTTTGCAACAAATTCTTGAACTATTTATTGAATGAGAAAATGCATTAACCTACAGAAAAGGTCCTTATATTCGAACATATTTGAAAAAAACTCAATGTTTTCGGAATTTATCCTTCAGTACCAGTTTTAGTTTCATTTGTAGTACTTGTCATGAATTCTTGTTAAGTTATTTTTGATATCTAAGCTGGCAGTTGATGGAAAAATGGATTGGATATACGCCAGAGAATAATAAATATTAGTAGAAATATCGACGTTAGTGTTCGAAAAAGTTTGGCGTGAGATATCAGATGGGCTGTTCTTATGTCAAGAAATTCAAAGCAACCATTTCGAACATCTTCTGAACTGAAATCAGCTTATTTCCCCAAATTATAAAGTTAAACGTCGATGTATCAGGTATATATTTGATGTTTCGTCATTTTGGAGTAGGTGAAGATATTGACTTAATATTCTAGGGTTGTGAGATATTCGTCAGGAGCTTCAAAAGAATGTGTGACCCCCTTTCCATTTAATTTTTTCCATATGACGTCCTGTCACCATCTTGAAATTTTCATCTGTCAATTTTGCTCCAAAATATAATATTCATGCATCAATTTGATTATCCCAAGTTTCGATTTTTTGAGTTGACCCGTTCAAAAAATGAAAGGTGGAGGAACATTAAAGAAAAGTACTGTATATTGCTTTTCCGAAAATTGTTTCTCAAATTGGTATTGTATCATTGTGAAATTTGTAAATAGTTGAACTCGTTCAATGAAAACAAATAAATGTATATTGCTTTTGATATTTTCAATATTTTATGAATATATCTAATATAGAAAAATGGTTGTTTGTTGGTTGGTTGTTGGTTGGTTGGTAAGTAATAAACTGCTACATCGCTCAACCGATCATGATGAAACTTGACACGTATGATTAATTTTTCATAGAGAAGGTTTCAAGGCTATCAATTTTTCCGTAACTCGCCACTAGATGGCGCTGTAGAACAATTTTTGGAAAGCACTGTTCTATAACGCTGCGCACGCTTAAGTTTGTTGATTCTGATTCTGTCAAAACATTGGAACAGCAGCGATACAGCAACATAGTACTAGTATCACATATAATGAACATTAATTCCCATAATATTATATTGACTAAGAAAATAGTAGATGTTTACAGCTGATTCTCGGCCTCCCCCCACCACTATGACGTATTAATTGCTTATTTTTGTTGGTTTAGTGAAATCAAGGTGATGTGATCTTGAAGTGT